GGTTAGATCATCGACGATTTGACCGTCCTTGAAGAATATGGATGGGCCACCATAGCCACGTTCGATTCTTCCATCCATATTGTCCCATTGATTCACCCAGCGAATAGGCGCAGAAGGATTGGAAGCATAGGCGACATTGGAGAAGTTTCCCTGTGCAAGCATCGACAAGTATTCAAAGGTGCCATAGAGCGCACCCCTCTCGTTTTGTCCAAGAATTTGAACGTTTTTCCCTTTGATGTCGAGCCAAAAGCCATCTTCTTCCAGTTCAGGTACACCTTTCATAGCGCCACAGATTTCCCGATATTGGTCAATCGTGCCAACAATAACCGAGGAGGCAGCCTTGCATTTGTTGTGTGTGACTTTCACACGCTTCCCATAAACACCTTTGAGACCATTCTGCAACTCCGTGCCCGCAACATACACTGGACTTGTCTCAGACGCATTGAGGGTGACGATACTCGAAGGGAGGTTGGAATGACATTGACCTGAACAGGGTAATGATGCATACCGCAGCCAGCCATTGAGGCCGTTCTCAGCGGCTGCAAAGCCCAAGGAGGCAAAGAAGAGGAGTGTACGCATTGTAGCCAGGTTTCTGGTCTAGGAGCGTATACCTAACCACTCACTGCAGATCAAGTTTCCCCTTTATATCAAGTTCCCCGCGACATCACACCACCGGAGATTCGCCGATGGCAAATAGTTGTCGGAGAAACTTCAGGCTAAATGAATGATATGTCCAAGCCAAGCAATACAGGCTATACTTGCAGTGTTTCCCCGCAAAAATTGCGGAGTTGTGTGGGGGTTGATTTGGTACGGACATTAACGCAGAATTTATTCACGCTAATGTTGAGAGAGCCACTGACAAAGGGTCCACGGGATATACCCCGTATTAGCCTGTTGGTTGCTGGATGTGGCTTATGGTCAGTACTCAAGATGAGATTAAGATCAGCGCCACGAAGCCCTATAGGTACCAGACAAGGCCCGAGTCGGACAAGAACTGGAGCAGACTCATCATAATGCGATGCATTTGGGTATTATATTTTAGGCTATTCTATGGAATGGCGGAGTCCGAAGACAAGCGCATATAGCAAAGTGGCCAAATATCTTGGCACGCCTATCTAAAATATACCAAGTTTGGGAGATACGCATGTACGTAATTATCATTATTCGTGGGAGAAGGTTTTGTTCAAGAATGGTTCAAGATTCTAATTTTTTATGGCTCACAACAGGGCGATACGCTTAAGCATCACGGCTCAGGATGTCGGAGTCACCGGCATCGAGGATAGCCATAGCGGAGCAGCGGAAGAGCTTACCGCAAGCGGTACCGAGCTCAATCTATAGGGCGAGTTAGTCCAATTCGCTCTCCGGGATGCCTTTCGGTGATCCCTTCGCTGAGCAACTTCACTCTCCGAAGTGGTAGTTTTGACCGACTTCTTCTCTGAGTAGTGTAGCTGACACCGAGGTGCGACAGCCGATTTTTCAGGCTGCCGACCCGAAGGAAAGGGGAATGAAACGTACGTTGTTGCCGTTGAAGTGGTGAACGGGGGTCTTGGCGAGCATGGCGTAGTACTCAAGCTCGGACTTGCGCAGAGGAGGGCAGTTTCCGGAGATGAGGACCAGCTTGGCCTTGCCAGAGCGGAGAGTCTTCATGGTGGACTTGGTACCCATGGTAACTAAGAGAATTTGTTAGTGGATTGCTTATTTGTGCGATCGAAACGACTGCTTACCCTTGCCAGACTTCATCACAAGCGCCAGGCGCGAGGAGAGGGTATCACCGGACTTCTTAGTCTTGACCATTTTGAATGTTTTGAGGGGTTGGCTCGTAAGAAGTTTTGTTGGATCGTTGGCTACGGAAGAAGAGAAAATTCGCACAGACGGGAAAAAAGGTCAAGTGTGGAGCGAGCCCTAGCCGCACGTGACTACACGTGACAGATCACCGCTTTATTTTCTGCCACCGGGACCGGAGGAACCACTGCGGGGTCTTTTTTTGACTCACTCCATTTTATATTACTACAAGTACACCCTGTTCTCAATTTCCATCTCTTGTCTTTCTTTATTTTGCACATTGTCTTTTTTTCAAAATGGCCGAAACTAGCAGTACCTCTGCTGCGCAATACCGTCAGTTTATCCCCCTTCAGTCTTATCTTATGAACCGCTACTAAATCCCGTAGAGAGAGTCGCTTCGCAGCCTGAGAACCCCTATGCCCAGTTAATCGAGGATCAATCCATTGCGGTCATCCCTTCCTTCAAACTTGAATCCGGTGTCACCCTTTACAATGTCCCGGTCGCATACACCACACGCGGAACCCTCGCTCCCAATGGTGATAATGTGCTGGTGATTTGTCACGCTCTTAGTGGCAGTGCCGATGTCGCCGACTGGTGGGGCCCTCTTCTTGGTGGTCCTGGCCAAGCTTTTGATGTCTCTCGGTTCTTCGTGATCTGCCTGAACAGTTTGGGCAGCCCGTACGGAAGTGCAAGTGCTGTGACCCACAAGGATGGTAAGCCTGAAAATGGCTACTATGGACCTGAGTTCCCCTTAACGACTGTCCGTGATGATGTCAACATCCACAAACTTGTCCTGGATGACCTCGGTGTCAAGCAGATTGCCGCGGTGGTCGGTGGGTCCATGGGTGGAATGCTCACCTTGGAATACGCATTTTTCGGCAAAGACTATGTGCGAGCTATTGTCCCCATTGCGACTTCAGCGCGCCATTCCGCATGGTGCATTAGTTGGGGTGAGGCACAACGGCAGAGCATCTACAGTGACCCGAAGTATGACGATGGCTACTATGCATTTAACGACCCGCCGTCCACCGGCCTCGGTGCAGCTCGCATGTCAGCACTTCTCACTTACCGTAGCCGCAACTCATTCGAGTCTCGGTTCGGTCGCAATGTACCAGATCCAACCAAACCGCGAAACATCAACGGCACTGAGAAGCTCCCCAGTCCCCCGAACGAGCACTGGGCTATCCACAACGACGGACACCGTGGCGGAACAACCTCACGCTCAGGGAGCAGACAAGGCTCACCGGCTCCTGTGAACGAGGCCGATGTCCAGTTCATGGACCCGCAATTCTCTGGCACCAAAACATTTGCCCCTGAAGTCGACGCAAAGCCCAAGCTGACTGCATCCGGCCGTCCTCGTCCACCGACCTACTTCTCTGCACAGTCATATCTTCGTTACCAGGGTGATAAATTTGTCAAGCGATTTGATGCCAACTGCTACATCGCCATGACTCGCAAACTCGATACGCACGATGTGTCCCGCCGCCGCGGCAATCCTAGCACCGAGACTGAGGATACCGTGCTCGAGGCCCTCGGACAGGTCGAGCAGCCAGCTCTAGTCCTAGGCATTGAGTCGGATGGTCTTTTCACATTCGCTGAGCAACAAGAGATTGCAGCCGGCATCCCCAATTCTCGCCTCGAGCGCATCGATAGCCCCGAGGGCCATGACGCATTCTTGCTTCAATTTGAGCAAGTTAACCGCCATATTGTCGACTTCTTCCACGAAGTTCTGCCCGATATCATGGCCAAGTCAAGCGCCGATGGTGCCGCTGCTGTGGCTAGTGTTACTAAGCTGACGAAGAGCAGCACCTTCGGCGAGGCCGAGGTGGAGGATATCACCGCTTGGTAGAGCGTTGGAATCCCCCAAAAAAGGTATTGTCAGGCGCAGTTTTTTCTGCCGCCAATCCCATGCTCTAGTCTGGGTCCAGAATCCCGTGAAGGGGTCCGCGACCGGATAGATGTCATGGCGCATCAGGGGAAGTAGGTTGCTGTTCTTTTTTCCGTTCCGCCAGTCAGGGAGATGAGCATCCAACTGCCTCTCCCGTCTCTCACTTGGCCTCTGTCCTTGTCCGAGAAGACTGTCAAAGAAGCATCCAACTGCTCTCCATCAGACCCGCCCTCTGGGTCAATTTCTTCCGGGAGGATACTCCCTCCGCCGGGGGTGATGGGTCCGTTTATCGGTATTGATAGCCATTGGTTATCTTTGCGGCATGTATGTCGCATTATCAAATAGAAAATTAATTCAAAATAACATATCTAGACATATCTGGACATATACGTTTATACTATTTGACTTTGACGAAACAGACAACGGCAGATCCAGTTTATATTCAAATCAGATAGCCCACGGCAATAGCGCCATGGTAATAGGGGCTACAACATACTCCGTACATATGCAGGACACACGCCTCGGTTCAAGTTGAAAGAGCAAAAAAAAAAAAAAGGGTTCGAGCTAAAGAGATAACTTGGCCCGAGCTGAATGGTCAGAAACGTGTGGCGGTACCCAGTGCTCATGCAGGCGCAATTTATGAGACTTATATTTATTTACATATGCGACGTACTCTTACTGAATGATTTTCCAGGTTTCCTCGGGAGGGGGAATACTATGTAAGTAGTTCGGAGTATGGATGATCTAGATGTCGATATATTTCCCACAAGCGGTTATTGCAAAAATAATCCAGTCTAGATTGCTGTCGCCCCCGATTTGAGTCACACTAGCACATGCTCTAACTAGATAGGTACTTGGCGCTTAGACCCTCTTATGAAAGTACCATTAATGGCGGATTTAATTGGTCCCTAAAAGGCCCATTGGTTATCTCTATACCTAGGTAGTTCTTGATACGGAGGATGAGCCCTATCCTTTTTATGCAGACTAGCTCAAGTAACATTATCTTTTTTCTCTTTAACCCGCTTAGCTTGATTTTTATTTCGGTGTATTCCCACTGTGATATAATTCTGGCCTGCATTCCCCCCGCATACCAGACAGTTGTGCCGACAACGCTTGGATTTTCCCTCTTTACAACACATAGTTCGGGAGATTGCCTGGCTTTGATCTGCAGGTGCATCACCAGTCGTTTAAGCTGTAGTGGGGTCTCGCATTGGAGAGCATTTTCATTGTTTATCTGCGCTCTTTCCTCCATCTCTTTGATCTTCGTCGAGCCATATTCATACATCCGATTCCTTGATCGGAGCATAAACAGAGAGAGAATTACACAGAGATGGAGCACAAGCTATCAGCAAAAGCAATCAAAATCCGCCATCGTCTGACCTTCACAAGAAGCAGCTCCGCACGAGGTACAGCATCAACACTAGTCTCGCCCATTGAGACCAATCCATCGAACAGCCGTCCCCGAACGGCGCCAAATCCCGAGTCTCCCACCCAAGACGAGCCAACATGGGATCTCAGTGACCCCGATTCCAACCGAGGCTACAGTTTCACAGATGACCCAGGCTACTTCCGCCCTGTATCGCCGTTCATTGACCGCCAAGAGATCGAAGATGACCTCGAAGATGATATCAAACATGCATGCGCCATGCTATCTCATAACATTGATCGTGGCATTCCAACCGTATTATCCCACCGGAGCGCCGTGCCAGTCTGGACGAATGCACAAAATCCCGCTGGTCAGCCTAGTGTCGATGCAGCGCCTCTATCTTTAGAACATCATGTTATTCTCCTATCGGCGCCCAAACCAATCAACCCCGAAACAGAGAACACCCCGAAACATGATTCCGGCGTCGGTATGAGCTTCAATTCTCCCAGCCAACTAGGGAGACCATACGACAGCAGCGCATCGGGCACAAATACCTCAACCCGGTTCTATAACAAACAACCCCCCGCCTCACCACCACACAGCCTATCAGCAGGATCCCACTCCCGGAGCCAGAGTCTAACAACAACATTCGAAGAAGACCAAAGAAAGCGAGCCTACTCATCAAGCCCGGTTCCCTTCCCATACAGTCCTCCCCAGCTCAACAGCGAGTGGAAATTTGAGCCAATGACGCTCGACAGCCCACTCAGTGAAACCGACCCTCAGCCCGAAGCTACTGAGTCTGAGCTCAAGACAAAGCCACAGACCGCACGTGCTGACAGAAATGAGAACAAAACTGAGACATTCTCCCCAGCCATTTCCCCACCTCTCGGCGGAGTGGATAGGAATTGGCTTCGGTCTAGCCGAGACATCCAACGCCAATTCGAAAAAAAAGCGACAACCCAAGCCAAAGAGACAAAGCCAGTGATCCGCTTCTACAGTTCCTATAACCAAACAACAGGGGATTTCAACTCGCGTGAATGGCCAACGAAGAATTTCTGGGATCGGGATCCGAGTGTCTACAGCGAAGACTCACTAGCTTTACCACTGGCTGGAACCTCATCGAGATCAGAAACAGGAAACCCCGGATTGGGTACTGCTTCGACGAATGAGGAAGAGTTGCCTGGCGAATACCCGTACCATACGTTTGCCGGGTCCAGCGGGATGTCTTACTCGTCTTCTTGTTTGGGGAATGAGATTAAGCAACAGGGCCGTGTTTACTCGGTTGATGTGCCCGGTTTTGCACCTAAAAATAACCGGCGGAAGAAGGCTTCGCTTTTGTTGAGGAAGTTGGCTGGGCTGGGGATGAAGAGGAAGGAAAATGACGGGAATGGAGTCTGCTGATACGCAGGGTGTGGGGTTTGTGGATTGGATATGCATTACTGGGATTTGAGCAGTTCTTGATTACTCCTGGGAGGCGTATTCGTATTCGTATCTTTTGATCTAGAGGTCTGTTCTTTTCTGTGTATATACCCCTTTTCTTTTCTGTTCTTTTGCCATTTATTATATCTGCTTGGGTTTAGGGGACATTCTATGTAAGTTTTTATTATTTTTGAAGCTCATTTCAAAAAGCATCGTTCTCATACAACCTCCACAGTTGACCATCGCTTCCTGGCACTTTTCTCTCTTAGAAAACTACATCTACTTCACTAGACCACTTTTATCAAGTTGAATAAAATAAAATTTTGCATTTGGAACAGGCAAGAAATTTGGCAAATGGTAAGCCAACCCCGATCGACAGATAAAAATAACATCACTCGTGAGACATGGTCCTATATATAGACATAACGCATCATATACCACAGCCCTACAGACCAAGCCAGAACCGGGTCTTGCCAACATCAAACTCGCCATGCAGCTCCTCCGCTCCAGTACCCGTAACGAGAACCTTGTACGTTCCCTTCTCGGAGATCCACTGCTCCCGCTCCTCATCCCACCAGCTCGTAGCCAACTTCTTCTCAACAACCAACTGCACAGTCTTAGTCTCACCAGGCTGCAGGAAAACCTTCTGGAAAGCCTTGAGTTCGCGCACAGGACGGCCAACATCAGTCTTGGGGGGCACGATCCAGAGTTGCACGATCTCGGCGCCAGCCACAGAGCCCGTATTGGAGACAGTCACCGACGCAGTGACAGGCTCACCGGACTCGGTGTACTTGCTCTGTTCGGGCACAGTCTCGATGCTCAGATCTGAGCGCGCGAAACTCGTATACGACAGACCATGTCCGAAAGCGAAGCCAGGCGCGACATCGCTCTTCTCGAAGTACCGGTAGCCAACGTAGATATCCTCACCGTAGAGGACACGGCCGCGCTCGGACCGGAAGTTCAGGTAGGAGGGGTTATCCTGCAGGCGGCGGGGGAAGGTGATTGGCAGCTTGGCGGAGGGGTTGACGTCACCGTAGAGGACGTCTGCGATGCCGTTTCCGCACTCGTTGCCGCCGAACCAGGCTTGCACGAGGGCTTTGGCCTTGTCTGCCCACGGCATCGTGACCGGTGTGCCGGACTGGATGACGACAACTGCGTTCGGGTTCGCCTCTAGCACACGGCTGATCAAATCGTCGCTGCCAGGGGGTAGGTCCATGTGCTCGCGGTCGTGGCCTTCGGTCTCCCATTCCAGGGTGAGGCCGGCGAAGATGACGACTTGCTCGGCGGTTTTGGCTTGCTCGACTGCGTTGGAGATCAGCTCTTCTTGGCTCACTTGTCGGCTGGCGCCGAAACGGAAGCCTCCTGGGCCGAAGGCGACAACTCCGCGTGTGTCGAGGTCTGAGGTTGGTGCGCTGCCGAACTGGAAGACAACCTTGTATGTCTGACCGGCCTTGAGCTCTTTGCTACCGACCTCTTCGATGGTGGCAGTGCCGAAGAAGGCGGAGCCTTGCTTCTGGTTCTTGGTGTTGTCGACAACCACCTCGCCGTCAATGAGGAGTTGGCCTGTGCCGACGACTGTCACGCCAAATTCGTAGACTCCGCTCTCCTCGGGGGTGAATAATCCCTCCATATCGACGTAGTAGGTCATAGACTTGATCTTAGGGTTGATGTAGTCCATCAAGAACCCGGAGGATTCGAGCAGATGCAACTCGTCCACGACCTGTCGGTCCACGCCAGAGCTGGGGGGTTCGTTGTAGACCTTGAATGTGAAGCCAGGCTTGCCATCTGCGGTCTTCAGCAGTGGGCCCAAAAGCGGCAACTCCTTGTGGGAGTACACGCCCTGGCTGTAGTTAACCTCTCCGGTGGTCTTGGCAGAGACGCCATCGAATGGAGTGACAGTGTAGTATGGAGCCAGAGAGGCCGAGCCACCACCACAGTAAGCAGCAATTTTAGCGTTGGGTCCAATGACCAGCAGAGACCCATCCTTCTTAAGGGGAAGAATATCACCCTCGTTCTTCATGAGCACGACAGACTCGGCAGCAGCACGGCGCATCAGAGCCTGATCTTCTGGTCGGTTGAGAGCCTTCTCGGGTGCTCCCTCGGGGATGCCCAGAGGCTCAACCCAGTTCACCAGGTTGAGGATGTTGCGCACGCGCTCATCGAGCTGGTATTGAGCCACCTTGTTTGATGAGACGGCGTGTGCAAGAGTCCCACCACGCCAGCGGGTCTTACCGGGCATCTCGATGTCAAGACCGGCGATGATGGCATCGGAGGTACTGTAGGTACCAAACCTAATGAAAATCAAACGTTAGCTTCCGAGTGAACAAAAAGGTTAACAGAATAATCCATCACAGATACTCACCAATCACTCATGATAAGACCCTCCCAGCCCCACTCCTTGCGCAAGATATCATCAATAATAGCCTTATTCTCGCTGACATGAGTTCCGTTAACCTTATTATAAGCGGTCATGATGCACTGCGAGCGACAAATGCGCATAGCCAACTGGAAGGGCATCAGGTAGATCTCACGCAGAGCACGATTAGTAAGAATGCTGCTCACAGCCAACCGCTCATGCTCCTGGTCATTGCAGACGAAGTGCTTAAGCGTAGCAGCAACACCCTTCTCCTGCATTGCCTTGCAGAAGTGGCCGGCCAGCGTACCGGAGAGCACACCATCCTCCGAGAAGGACTCGAAGCCGCGTCCGCCTAGCGGCGAACGTTGGGTGTTGATCGTTGGGCCCAGCACGATGTGTGTGCCTTTTGCGATCGCCTCTTCGCCCATCAATGCACCGACTTCCGCTAGCAGCTCGGTATCCCAGGTTGCACCGAGCGCTGTTGCGCAGGGGAAGCATGCTGCTGGGATGCCATTGAAGAACCGGGTGCCACGGACACCATTTGGGCCATCGGACATGCGTAGTGCGGGAATGTTTAGGCGTGGAACCGACACTGTGTGCCAGAAGTCATGACCTAGTAGGATGAGGTTAGTCTTAACTTGATCAATCACTGGGATTGCATCATTGGCAATGGAACTCGGATTTACCAGCTGTGAGGGCCACCTTCTCGCCGAGGGTGAGCTCCTCGATGGCTTTCTCGACGTCAATTCGAGCCATAATGTAATGTAGTTCTCTTGTATATTATTTGCTTTTACCCCTGTTCAATTGCCCCAAGAGAATGAAGCTGTTCAAGAGGTGTTTAACTAACAAAAATAGAGAATACAGTAGCTCAATAGAGAAGAGAACCACCTTTTATACCCGGAGAGCCAGGCCTTTTCCAATGTATGAAGCGTCAGATGAAACCCGTGTAGGCGGGGGAAGATGAGGAGTATTATCCAATGACAATGGCTATATAAGACGCGAAGTTGGCCAAACAAATGATATTCCAATATATTTAACAAATAATCCACTTGGCTGCTCAAAGGGCCACGGAGGTAGTTGCGAGACCGAAGTTTAGCCGGCAGGGTAAGGCGGGGCAAGGAGGTCCGGATGTCGGACCGATGAGCCGGAGTACAGACATTTGAACTACATTGAAAGGAAAGGTGGAAAAAAAGTCCATAGACCCTTGAATATTGCTTTCATTTAGAAAAAAAAAAGTACATGTGAAGAAGTGAAGTGGTTTTGTTCCCAAACACCAGGCAAAATGCAAAAAGAGATAGGAAACAGTCCAGTGTGGAAATTGTAGCAAAGAGAAAACATCAAAAAGTTAAAGTAAACCATCATTCCTTTCAGGGTATCATGGTGAATGGTGAATGGTGAGAATCATGCTCCTCGACGAGGACGCTTGTTATCATTTCCCATTCTCATGCCACGTCCACCGTCAGTGCTATCGTCAGGACCCTGTCGACCGCGCTTACGGTGCCCAGAGCCTCCAGAGCCGCTGCCACCCTCGCGTTGATGATCTCGGTCACGTCGGTCGCCACGGCGCTCACGCTCGCGATCCCGATTGTCGGAACGGCTACCCCGGTCGCCAGAATTGAAACGACGCTCGTTTCCTTCCGGTATGGGGGGAGGTGGAGGAGGAGGGGGTGGTGGCGGCGCCTCCATGGAGGAGGGGGGTCGCAAACGGCCTTCAGCCTCATGTGTCTCACTGCCACTAGGGGTTGGTCCAATCATTTCCGACGGTCCATCTGGGCGGTCCCGTCGGTCTCGACGTCGCAGCTCTTCGCGCGAGCTCTGAACCCGGCGCAGGGTCTCACGGGGTCCACCAGTGCCCTTCTCGTCGCGGCTTCCACCGCCTCCTACATCGCTTCGACGGCTGCGTTCGCGGTCATTTCGACGGCCATCGCGTCGATTGCGACCGCTGCTGCTGCCATCGCGACGCTCGCCGTCTTTCTCGCGAGGAGGCTCCGCTTCACGACTGCGAGGGCCAGTTTGTCCAGAGCGGCCCGCCTCGGAAACGACATCATCAATCAGGTCGCCACCGCGGCCACCGGTGGGTCTGTTGCGGGATAGGTCTTCTTGAGGTCCTGCAGGGCCCATAGGTGGACGGTTCGCAGGCTGAGGCGATGGTGCCTCCGCGGTGCTTGATGGGCGGTTGGCGCCTCTTCCGCGAACAGGCGGAGGGTTACCACCCCGGTCACCACCGCCACCACCAGACTGCTGGAGCATATTATTGAGGCCCGCGAAACGTTTATCACCACGGCCACGCTCCCCGCCGAAGCCTTGTCCAGGCGGTCCAGACTGCGCAGACTGCGCAGAGGGTCCTCGAGGTGGTTGTTGTAGGCTTAATCCGCGAGGGCCCGAGGGAGCAGCAGCGGGGGCTGCAGGTTCATTGACGAGATTCCTGAGGCGATCTGGATGAATTCCCGGGGCAGTGCTCGAGCCTGCGGGTTGTGTTGGAGCAGTGGGTGGCTCGGGTGGCCCACGCCCACTTTGTCGGCCAGGGCCTGTAGGTGCCTGGCGTTCCGGAACGGGCAATGTAGCATTGCTTGAGCTGAGCATTGGGGGTGCCTGTCCGGGAATATTACGTCCACCGCGTCTTCCT